GGTACTTTCTGCTGGTTGTTGACGACTACTCGCGTTACACCACGGTCTTCCCCTTGCGCACCAAAGGTGAGGTCCCTGCTGTCTTGATCCCTTGGATCCGCGTAGTTCGTCTCCAGCTCCGCCGGAGGTTCCGGACTTACCTTCCTGTCCTGCGTCTGCACTCTGACAGAGGTGGTGAGTTCACCTCCGACCTCTTGCGGACCTTCTGTCAGAGGGAGGGCATCGAGCAGTCGTTCACGCTTCCGGGCTCACCGCAGCAAAATGGGATTGCTGAGCGCCGCATTGGCTTGGTCATGGAGGTCGCTCGTACCTCCTTGGTTCATGCGGCGGCTCCCCATTTTCTGTGGCCGTTTGCGGTCCGGTACGCAGCGCATCAGCTCAACCTCTGGCCTCGTGTCTCCTTGCCAGACACCTCGCCCACACTGCGTTGGACGGGAGAGGTTGGCGATGCGTCGCGTTTCCGAGTCTGGGGTGCTCGTGCCCTTGTCCGCGATACGTCCGCGGACAAGCTCTCCTCCCGCACCATTCCTTGTGTCTTCCTTGGCTTTGACCTTGACGCGTCTGGCTGGCAGTTTTACCACCCCACCTCGCGTCGTGTCTTCCCCTCTCAGGACGTCACCTTTGACGAGTCGGTTCCTTTCTACCGTCTCTTCCCCTACCGCACTGCTCCTCTCCCTCCCAGGCCGCTTTTCCTCGCTCCAGGTCCCCCTCCGGTAGACCCCCTCCCCCCTCAGGGTCCCACTCCTTCAGGTGTGTCTCAGGTAGACCCACTCCCCTTAACTGAGCCTTTGGAGGTCACTTCCGACACCTCTGGCCCAGCTGAGGGGGGTGACGTTGCTGCTGACGCCCCGGCGGCCTACCGCCGCACACCACGCTTGGAGACCCCTCCGGGTTTCCCGCCGCGACCTTCTTCGCCGCCTCTGCAGCCGACTACTGTTGACTCTGGTGCTCCTGGGGGTGGTGCTACTTGGGGTGCTGCGTCTGGGGGTGCTGAGCCAGTACGTGAGGTGCTGGGAGGTGTGGAGCCTGGGGGTGCTGAGCCTACGAGTGCGGAGCCTGAGGGTGCTGAGCTGGAGGGTGCCGGGTCGGGGGGTGCTGAGTCAGCTGGAGTTCCTACGGGTCGTGCTGCTGGGGCTGGAGTTCCTGCTGCTGGGGATGCTGCTGCTAGAGGTACTGGGGTTGGAGGCCCTGGAGCTAGCGCTGTCGACCCTGGATTTGGAGGCCCCACGGTGCCCCCCCGCCGCTCACCACGCTTGGCGACCCCTCCGGGTTTTCCACCTCGACCGTCTTCGTCACCTCTGCGGCCGGTTCTGGTTGCCTCTGGTGCTGCTGGGGGCGGTGTTGCTCGGGGTCCTGCGTCTGGGGGTGCGGAGCCTGGGGGTGCTGAGCCAGAGGGTACCAGGTCCGGGGGTGCTGAGTCGGGGTCTTCCTCTTTCTGCTGCTCGAGCTGCTGGAGCTAGTGGTCGTGGAGACGCTGGGAGCACTGGTGTTTCTGGTTCTGGACGTGCTCGTACCGGGGGTACTGGAGCTGCCAGGACTGGTGGTATTGCTGGAGCTGGAGGTGCTAGTCCTGAGGGTGCTGAGTCTCCTCGCGGTCCTCCTGGTGCTGCGTCGCAGCGGCCACCTCTCTCGCGACAGCAGCTACGCGAGTGGTGCGCTCAGCGCTACTGCTGTCGAGGTGCTGCGACTGGGGGTACTAGGGCTGGACGCCCAGGAGCTGGTGCTGTTGCCTCTGGAGTTGGAGACCCTGGAGCTGGAGGTGCCGGTTCTGGAGGTGCTGCTGCTGGAGGTACTGAGGCTGGAGACCCTGGAGCTGGAGGTGCCGGTTCTGGGGGTGCTGCGTCTGGAGGTACTGAGGCGGTAGACCCTGGAGCTCGAGGTTCTGGCGCAGCTAGCGACGCTGGAGCTGGAGGTTCTGTGGCTGCTGGAGGCGCTGGAGCTGGCGGTTCTGGAGTTGCTCGAGGTAGCGCTGGAGCTGGAGGTTCTGGAGCTACTGGAGGCACTGGAGCTGGAGGCTCTGGAGCTGCTGGAGGCGCTGGAGCTGGAGGTTCTGGAGCTGCTGGAGGCGCTGGAGCTGGCAGTTCTGGAGCTGCTGGAGGCGCTGGAGCTGGCGGTTCTGGAGCTGCTAGAGGCGTTGGAGCTGCTGGAGGTGCTGGAGCTGCTGGTGCTGGTGGCACTGCACAGCCGCGACTGTTTTTCGCTCCGCCGTCACCGTCGTCTCTGCCACCACCTGACTCCGTGCTTCGCCAGGTTCTTAGCCTCCCGTCTTCTACTGGTCTTTCGTTACTGCCTGGCTCACCACTGCCTGCTCCTTCTCCTTACATTGAGCAGACAGGAGGTCCTGCTGAGCGTCGTGAGCCTGCGTCTCGTCCTGTCTCGCCTGTTCGCACTGGTCGTACTGGTCGTCGTGTTCCTCGTCCGCGTCCGCCGGCTGTCCCCGGCACGCACCTCATGGCCCTTCGTCCTTCCTCTGCTCCACAGCGTGTTCCCCTGCCGTCCCCTCCTGCGTCTTCTCTGCGTTACGTTCCAGACCCTGAGTCTGACCGCGCTCGTGCTGCTCACCCTACTGTCACGCGTCTGCTTGCCACTGTTGTCACTGACCCTTCGTTTGAGTCCACTGCTGCGTCTGCCCTAGTCGCTGAGCTTGTTGACTTTGCTACTGCCTGTCGTCTAGACTACGCTGCTAGTCTTGTTGCTGAGTCTGAGTCTGTCTGTCCTCCGTCCGTCGGGGGTGAGTGTGCTCTAGGCACGGACGTCCTTGAGGACAGGCACGAGGACCTTGAGTGTCTTGCGGCTGCTGCGCCTCATCTCGTGGCCATGCTGCTTGCCCCTGAGGGAGATCCGGATGCACCAGACATCCCGACCCCGCACTCTTACGCTGACGCAATCGCGGGTGAGTGTCTCTCAGTGGCAAACAGCCATGGACGCAGAGATGGCATCCTGGAAGTTCACAGGCACTTACGTCAATGAGGTTCCCCCTCCTGGGGCGAACATCGTCGATGGCATGTGGATTTTCAAGGTGAAGCGGCCGCCGGGTTCTCCGCCTTTCTTTCAGACCTTCTCCCCTACCCCGAAGATGACCACTCTTGACTTCAGCACAGCCTTCTTACAGGGCAGCCTGCACGAGGAGATCTGGCTGCGCCGCCCACCTGGCTTCACTGGGTCGTTCCCTCCTGGTACCCAGTGGAGCCTCCGGCAGCCAGTCTACGGTCTCCGCCAGGCGCCTCGTGAGTGGCATGACACACTGAGGACGACGCTTGCGGCTCTTGGGTTTGCTCCTTTGACTGCTGACCCGTCGCTGTTCCTGCGCACCGACACTTCGCTGCCGCCGTTCTATATCCTTGTGTACGTCGACGACTTGGTCTTTGCCACTGAGGCTCTCGCTCAGGTGAAGTCGGAGCTGCAGAAGAGACACACGTGCACAGACCTGGGTGAGCTACGCAGCTACCTTGGCTTGCAGATCACCCGGGACAGAGCACGCCGCACCATCACCCTGACTCAGTCACACATGGTGCAGCAGGTCCTTCAGCGCTTCGGCTTCTCCTGGTCCTCCCCACAGGCCACTCCTCTGGCTATAGGTCACTCGCTCTCAGCTCCACCTTCGGACGAGTCCGTAGAGCCGAGTGGTCCTTACCCAGAGCTAGTGGGCTGTCTCATGTACCTGATGACCTGCACTCGACCTGACCTCGCATACCCTCTTGGCCTTTTGGCTCGTTACGTGGCTCCTGGCAGGCACCGAAAGGTGCACATGGATGCTGCCAAGAGGGTGTTGCGCTACCTGTGCAGTACATCAGGCATGAGGCTCGTGCTGGGAGGACGGAGTGAGGTGGTCCTTACTGGGCACTCAGACGCGTCTTGGGTTGACGACCAGACTACACAGCGGTCGTCGCAGGGTTACACCTTCAGCCTTGGCTCTGGCTCTGTTTCTTGGCGGTCTACACGCTCGTCTTCTGTTCTCAACTCCAGTTGTGAGGCTGAGATCTACGCCACCGCCATGGCTGCACAGGAGCTACGCTGGCTCACCTACCTGCTGACTGACTTGGGTGAGCGGCCTCGTTCTCCTCCAGTTCTGTACGTTGACAACAAGGCGACCATTGCCTTGTGTGAGGAGCACAGACTAGAGCACAGAACGAAGCACATCGCTCTCCGTTACTTCCTGGCTCGAGAGTTGCAGCAGCGAGGTCAGCTTCGTCTTCGTCACGTGGCCACTCGGGCCAACACTGCTGATATATTCACCAAGGCGCTTCCGTCTGGTGATCATCAGCGCTTTTGTACCCTGTTAGGCCTTGTGCCTACGTTTCCACACTTGCTGTAGTCTTTGCTTGTACTGTGATCTCTATATATATACCTGCATGCTGGCTCTTGCTAGGTAGTCATCACTGTACTGTTGTTGTTGCATATATATATACCTCTGCATGTGAACTGGCCTTGTGGCCCTTTGCTTGTGCTTAGAGTGTGTGGTGACGTTGTGATCCACCCTAAGCTTGCTTTGCTTCTCTTGACTGGTCGTGTGACCCCTTGTTCTCTCCCACTTTGCCTATGGGGGTGTGTCAAACATATATGCTGCTTGTTATATCACTGTACTATTGTTGTTGCATATATATATACCTCTGCATGTGAACTGGCCTTGTGGCCCTTTGCTTGTGCTTAGAGTGTGTGGTGACGTTGTGATCCACCCTGAGCTTGCTTTGCTTCTCTTGACTGGTCGTGTGACCCCTTGTTCTCTCCCACTTTGCCTATGGGGGTGTGTCAAACATATATGCTGCTTGTTGTGTAGGCTGTATTGGGGTAGCCCATATGGGGTACAACCCAAATTAGGGTTTCCTACTTGTACCCATCATGCTGCTAGTTCATTCATTCCTGCTTGGTATCTTGACATGCAACACCATTCACACTCGAATCTTGGACATCAAGAAGTGCCAGTCGAAGCACGCCACTCTTGAGGTTGACCCAACTGCTGTTGATGGTAAATACAATCCATTATTTTGCTCACACTGCGGCTATACATCTGTCACAAGCCTACCACTATCCTCTTCCTCCATAAGCCATTCTAACTTTGCATCCAGCGCATTCTGACTAAAACCCCCAGAAAGCCCATCCCCACCCTCCCCACCCTGGTGCTCTTCATCCCTTCCACTGGCGGCAGCGCCAGGGGTGTCACCATCCCTGCTCGCCCCTGCGTTGCCGGGCGGAGGTGGACGTGGGAGGGCGGAGAGGGAGCGCTTGAGAGCCTTGATGGAGCGCAGCAGGTCGGTCACAGTGGGCCGGGCGAGGGGGTCGGAGGCGGTGCAGGAGAGGGCGAGGCGCACCATGGGCAGCACGATGGCGTCGGGTGCTTGGGGCAGGTGGGCAGCGCGCAGCTGGGCTGTTGTGTTGCGTGACACTAGGCGCTGTGCCTGCACAGGGATGGAAATTTTGGACATGTTGGGGTGGGAATCGGAGGAATAAGAGGGAGGAGACGATGCATGAGTGCTTGTTGAGGATTCATTGAGGCGAACACACTGGTGGTGGCTTGGCATAGCAGGGTGGCATGGTGGTGATGAGTGTTGTGCAGTGGCATGAAGAGAGCCTGCCACTCACCCAGTCGCGGATGTGCACTGAGCCACTGCCACTAGAGTTGCCGCTTCCTGTGCTCATGCTACTGTTGTAGCTGTTTGTGCTGATGCTCTTGCTGCTGTTGCTGCTACTGCCGCCATCCCCGCTGCCAGAGCTGGTGCCTTGCTGGTGGTCGGTGCGTGCAGGTGCAGGGATGAAGGCGGGGCGACCCGTGATGAGCTGCAGCATTACCACTCCAATGCTGGGGGAGAGTGAAGAAGAGCGTAGGGGCGGGAGGAGAAAATGGAGAGGTGTTTGGCTGGTCAATCGAATCAGTTGATGGTTAGTCACGGCGAAAGCACATCCAATCAGCAGCAGAGTAACGGATCCAACTTTTAAGCAGACGGATTAGCAGCATTTGGTTCAGCATGCCTTATAGGAGAGAAGGAGGTGGGAGAGGCGATGAGGAGAGGGGACAAGAAGACAGGTAGAGTGGCATCAGTAGAAAAGGTTGCAAGAAACACTGCTGCAACGCCTGAGTGAAAAGGTCTCAGTGAAAAGGTCTGAGTGAAAAGGTCTGAGCGTTTTTTAGAGATTGTGAGCAGCAGGGTCGAGCGAAGCAGCACGATTGTTGAGACATGTCAAGAGCTGTGCAGCACGCACCTGAAAACGTCCGTGGAGGGCGTGGTGCGAGAAGAGGCATGCAGGATTGGGTCCATGTATGCATGGTTGGCAGGTCGCCCCGTGCCACTCTCTGGTGATGCCACCGATGCCCTTGCTGATGCTGCTGGCACTGGCGATGATTCTGCTGCTTCTGGTGCTGCTGCTTCTGGTGCTGCCGCTTCTGGTGCTGCTGCTGGTAGTGGCGGTGCTGCTGGTGCTGGTGGTGGTGGTGCTGTGGGGATGGATGGGAGGGGGTCGCCCATTTTCACGGCCATGCAGCCAGCCAAGACAGGCTGCGGGAACGGCATGGACGAGGGGTAGTGGAGAAGCAGAGTGAATGCAGCGGGCAAGGGAAGGGAGCGACGCAGCTGGTGGTTGATGGGTTGGGGAGGATGGAGCTGGGAGTATGTGAAGCGGCAAAGCGTGCATGGCAGATCCGCCTGTGTGTCACTGCACCTATGTGTCACTGCACCTGTGTGTCACTGCACCCGTGTGTCACTGCACCTATGTGTCACTGCACCTATGTGTCACTGCACCTATGTGTCACTGCACCTATGTGTCACTGCACCTCTGTGTCACTGCACCTATGTGTCACTGCACCTGTGTGTGTCACTGCACCTACGTGTCACTGCACCTACGTGTCACTGCACCTATGTATCACTGCACCTATGTGTCACTGCACCTGTGTGTCACTGCACCTATGTGTTACTGCACCTATGTATCACTGCACCTGTGTATCACTGCACCTGTGTGTCACTGCACCTGTGTGTCACTGCACCTGTGTGTCACTGCACCTCTGTGTCACTGCACCTGCATGGCAACAGGCAGCTCACCTGCAGCGCAGTGTCAAGCAGGATGTTGCGAGGGTGTATGCAGCCATGCACGACCCCATAACTCTGGATGTGCTTCAGCCCGCGCAGCACACCGCCTGTCACATCCAGAGACTGCCACACGGTCAGAGGCGTGCAGCCCTCTGCATGGCGGGAGGAGGAGGGGGGCACAGGGTAGTAGAGAGAGGGTACGGGGACATGAGGGAGAGAGGGTAACATAGACAGGGGAACAAGCAAGCAAAGATGCAGAGGCATGGAGGGGGGGGGTAAGCATGGAGGGAGTAGGGTGGTGGGGCAGGGGGACAGGTGTGGGTGTACCTGCAAGGAGGCGGGTGTGCAGATTGCCTCCTGGCACCCACTCAAACACCAGCACCTGCTCCTCTGCTCGCTCCTCTGCTTGCTCCTCTGCTTGCTCCTCTGCTCGCTCCTCTGCTCGCTCCTCTGCTTGCTCCTCTGCTTGCTCCTCTGCTTGCTCCTCTGCTTGCTCCTCTGCATCACTGGCAGCAGCAGTAGCATCAGCACGTGCACTCTTGGCATTATCAGCACTCGCACTCTTTGCAGTATCAGCACCGGCAGCAGCAGCAGCACTAAGAGCAGCAGCAGCAGGCGAGGGAGGGTGAAAGGAAGTGGCACGGTTCTCCCAGCAGTACCCCAGCAGTCGCTGCAGGTTGGTGTGGCGCATGGCCCACAGCGTCGCCACCTGCACGGAACAGACAGCCAAGCAGCCACAAGGAGGGGGGGATACAACGGCAAGTTAAAAGGGCACACCACAGCACAGTGCGTGCAGTGGCACTATTCACAACACAGTACAGTGCTCTCACCTCTTTCTGGAAGTCTGTGGAAAGCTCGTCGTTGCTGCGCCTCACCACGAACCACACCTGTCGCGCATCCACAGGACTCACTGCCTTGTACCTCTGCCCTCCACCGCTGCTGCTGCTAGTCTCCACCCTGCTACCGTCGCTCCACCCACCCGTCGCCTGTGCCACGAGGGCCATGGGGAGCTGTGGACAGCGGGCACGACTGAAGACGCGCGATGCTGCAGTGGGGAAGGAATGGGGGACGAGACGAGGGCGGGAGAGCAGGGTGAGAGGAGGAGGGAGATCGAAAGAGATGTTGGTGAGATGTTGGTGAGATGTTGGTGACATGTTGGTGAGGTGTTGGTGAGATGTTGGTGAGTTGTTGGTGAGGTGTTCGTGAGATGTTGGTGAGGTGTTGGTGAGATGTTGGTGAGATGTTGGTGAGATGTTGGTGAGGTATTGTGAGATGTTGGTGAGCTGTTGGTGAGCGACTATGCTGCAGCAGTGGCTGCAAGAGCAGCAATGATGAGCAGCAGCACATCACATGCCCCTTAAAGCCAGCCATGCCACATATCTTTTAAGGTTCTTGTGCTACGAATTTGCTCTTACCTGAGGCAGCTAGTGGCTGTAGTTTCGACCCCTGGCCTCCCTGTCTCACACACCCAGCAGCCACAGCAGCAGCAGCAGCAGCAGCCACCAGCAGACACAGCACGCCCACGGATATCCCCACGATTGCGGAGGTTGGCAACCCGGTGGAGGGTGGGGGAGCAGGAGGAGGGGCGAGGGGAGAGGAGGAGGCAAGGAGAGAGGACAGAGGAGGAGGCGGGGGGTTCATGAGCGCGAGGCTGGGAGGGAGAGGAGGTGAGAGGGGAGGAGGGGGAGGAGGGTGGCGGAGTTGGCCTGTGGGGAGAGAGGTGGGGAGAGAGGTGGGGTGGGATGTGGGGCGGGAGGAGTTGTGGAGGGGGTAGCTGTTAGTGTTAGCCATCAATCTCACACTTTGTACTTTATATCTTTTATATCCTAGAGTAGTGTAGTTTGCACTTTGTGTTTGGTTGGGTGTACACCTACATCCCAACCAAACCCAAATGTAATCTCCAAGCAATCTCCAACCCACCAATTGGAGATTGCCTTGGGATTACCCCCAATCCCTAGGGATTGCCCCCGATTTCCTTCCCCATCCATTCCTTGCCCTTCTTGGATGTACTTAAAGAGCTTCAAGCTACCTACTAATGTATCAGTTCTAAGCCTAAGTTCTGACAGTAGCAGCTGCTGTGCCGGGGAGCTGTGATGCCAATAGAAGCCATCAAGCTGTCAGATGGCAAGTGTCATGAAGTCTTTCACAAACCACATTCACAACCACACACGAGACACCATTCCACTTCAGTGAGAGATGCGCAGGTGTGCAGAGCCATGTTGTGATACTCAGTGCTCACCATTGAGTGGGATGCACGAGGCACAGAAGTCGAAGCACACATTCGTGCAGAAGAAGGAGGAGGCGTTCTGCTGGATCTCACAGCTGCTGCCCGCCCTGCCACATGTCACCCCTGGAGGGGTATATCTGGACAGGGCAAGATGGTAGGGGAGTATGGAAGAGTAATAGGAAAGGGTGTGGTGTGGAGTGCTGTGCAAAGGAGGATTCGAAAGGCAAGGTGCTTCATTCTTTTGTTTTGCCTATGCGTGTGTGTGTGTGTGTGTGTGTGTGCGTGTGTGTGTGTGTGTATGTGTGTGTGTGTGTGTGTGTGTGTGTGTGTGCGTGTGTGCGTGCGTGCGTGTGTGTGTGTGTTTGTGGGTGGGTGGGTGGGTGGGTGGGTGCGTGTGTGCGTGTGTGCGTGTGTGTGTGTATGTGTGTAAGTGTGTATGTGTTTTGGTGTGTGCGTGCATATGTACACAATTTAATTATCAGCATTTGCCCCACAAACATCTCTCAGTGCCTTTCGATGCTTTTTGTCTTATGTAGGTTCCCACGAGAATCATGCGTGAGGCATTCTGCATTCAGTAGTGCACCCGTGCGACAGTAAACTTGGTGTGCTCATTTGTGTTTTCCGTGGTTTTACAAGAAGATAGCAGTCAGGTGAGCCTTTACAAGGACACAAAACAGACTCACGCACGCACGCGCACGCGCACGCACACACGCACCCACGCACCTACCCACCTACCCATCCACCCACCCACCCACACACGCACGCACGCACGCACGCACGCACGCACGCGCGCGCGCACACACGCACCCACGCACTCACCCACCTACCCATCCACCCACCCACCCACACACGCACGCACGCACGCGCCCAAAAAAAAAAAAAAAACAAAAGAATGATGCGGGGTGAGAGGCAGTGCGTGCGACCAACATTTGAGCGAGGATGGGGAGAGCACCAACATTTGAGCGAGGATGGGGAGAGCACCAACATTTGAGCGAGGATGGGGAGAGCACCAACATTTGAGCGAGGATGGGGAGAGCACCAACATTTGAGCGAGGATGGGGAGAGCACCAACATTTGAGCGAGGATGGGGAGAGCACCAACATTTGAGCGAGGATGGGGAGAGCACCAACATTTGAGCGAGGATGGGGAGAGCACCAACATTTGAGCGAGGATGGGGAGAGCACCAACATTTGAGCGAGGATGGGGAGAGCACCAACATTTGAGCGAGGATGGGGAGAGCACCAACATTTGAGCGAGGATGGGGAGAGCACCAACATTTGAGCGAGGATGGGGAGAGCACCAACATTTGAGCGAGGATGGGGAGAGCACCAACATTTGAGCGAGGATGGGGAGAGCACCAACATTTGAGCGAGGATGGGGAGAGCACCAACATTTGAGCGAGGATGGGGAGAGCACCAACATTTGAGCGAGGATGGGGAGAGCACCAACATTTGAGCGAGGATGGGGAGAGCACCAACATTTGAGCGAGGATGGGGAGAGCACCAACATTTGAGCGAGGATGGGGAGAGCACCAACATTTGAGCGAGGATGGGGAGAGCACCAACATTTGAGCGAGGATGGGGAGAGCACCAACATTTGAGCGAGGATGGGGAGAGCACCAACATTTGAGCGAGGATGGGGAGAGCACCAACATTTGAGCGAGGATGGGGAGAGCACCAACATTTGAGCGAGGATGGGGAGAGCACCAACATTTGAGCGAGGATGGGGAGAGCACCAACATTTGAGCGAGGATGGGGAGAGCACCAACATTTGAGCGAGGATGGGGAGAGCACCAACATTTGAGCGAGGATGGGGAGAGCACCAACATTTGAGCGAGGATGGGGAGAGCACCAACATTTGAGCGAGGATGGGGAGAGCACCAACATTTGAGCGAGGATGGGGAGAGCACCAACATTTGAGCGAGGATGGGGAGAGCACCAAGGGAGGCGGGCAGTGAGCCAGTGACGTTGGTGTTGGCCACGTCCTGGGACAGGGCGGCCATGGGTTGCACGGCACATGGAGGCAAGGAGATGGACGCAGTACGTGGGATGAGGATGACTCATGATGGCACCCTGTAAGGATCACAACACTCAATATAAAGATAAGCCCGTTTCTGATCATTGAGGGAAGGTGGACATGAAGGGAAGGTGGACATGAAGGGAAGGTGGACATGAAGGGAAGGTGGACAAGAGGGAAGGTGAATGGGCCTGAGCAGAAAAGAGGGAGGTTACCCAAGTCTATATGCACGAGCGCGTGCGTGCGTGCACGCGCGTGTGTGTGTGCGTGCGCGTGTCTGCATGCGTGCGAATGCCTGCCTGCATGCGAGGGGGCAACCGTGCGCATGTGTGTGGGACACCCCTTGCATGATCACAACCCCACCCACATACAAGTACTGAAGGCTGCCCATCCGACCAACAGTGCTGGGGATTGTGCCGCTGAGCGGAGTGTTGGCCACTCGGCTGGTGTACAGCGCATTGCCACGTGGATGCATTGCCACATGGATGCATTGCCACGTGGACGCATTGCCACGTCAACGCATTGCCACGTGGATGCATTGCCACGTGGACGCATGGTGGTATGCAGAGGGGCGTGGTGTTGTAAATGTATCTTATATATACAACATACATAGGCTAGAATAGGTGTAGCTCTTTAAGCCATTGGGGGGTTGGGTGTACACTCCAACCACACTTTGTGGTTGGGTCAAGATTTGGTTTGGTCTTGGTCCTTGGTTGGCACTTGCCAACATTTGGTCCTAAGGCCAACCAATCACAAGCTAGCAACATTGTGGGGTTCCCTACTCCACAAGGCAACTCACCCATTGGCCAACTTAGTGGCCAATAGGGTTGCACCTTCTTCCAACCTCTCTTCCTTGCATGCTTGTACTATAGAGCCTCCTTGGCTCATTACTCAACCATTCTCTTGAATTCTATCATGGTATTCAGAGCCAAATGGCTCACGCCACCTCCCTCGATCCTTAGGCCGTAATTTCCTCTCCGCGTCTTAGATCTAGCCTCCCGCGGCCTCAATCCTCCCTCCCGTACCTCAGATCTAGCTTTCCGCGGCTCAGATCTACTCCTCCGCGGCCTCAATCCTCCCTCCCGTACCTCAGATCTAGCTTTCCGCGGCTCAGATCTACTCCTCCGCGGTCTCAATCCTCCCTCCCGCGGCCACAATCCTCCCTCCCGCGGCCTTAATCCTCCCTCTCGCGGCCTCCGACCGCTCTCCCGCGGCCTCAATCCTCCCTCCCGCCGCCACCCCTCCCTCACGCCTTCCGTCGCAGACGGCCAGCACACCGTCGCGGACGGCCAGCAAGCCGTCGCGGACGGCCAGAAAGCCGTCGCGGACGGCCAGCACACCGTCGCGGACGGCCAGCAAGCCGTCGCGGACGGCCAGAAAGCCGTCGCGGACGGCCAGCAAGCCGTCGCGGACGGCCCGCAAGCCGTCGCGGACGGCCAGCCAACCGTCGCGGACGGCCAGCCCGCGGCCACGAGCACCCCGCGCGTCGACGCGGACGGCCAGCGCGGAGTCGCGGCCGACCTGTGCGCCATCCCGAACGGCCGCCGCGCGATCGCCGACGACCTCCGCGCCGACGCGGACGACCGACGCGGAGCCGCGGCCGACCCTCGCGCTGACGCGGACGGCCGACGCAGAGCCGTGGCCGACCCTCGCACTGACGCGGACGGCCGACGCAGAGCCGCGGCCGACCCTCGCGCTCTCATGGGCGGCCGACGCGCCACCGCGACTGACCTGCGCAACCTCCCCCCTTCATCCGCGCCCTGCCCCACACTTCCGCGCCATCCTTCCTCTCCCCTACCTCCTCCCCCCCCTCCTACTTCACCCTTAATCGCACCAGCAACAGCACCTAGCAGCGACCTTTAACCCTAAACCAGCAGCGCCACCCTGTTACGGCACCAGCAGCGGCACCTT